ACCTTGTGTGCACAACAAAGTTCAAGCAACTCACCAAAAATCGAAGCTTAACCACCTTGATTTAAGAAGAAGCTCTGATACCAAATTGTTGGGAAAACGACCTCCCAAGATTGCCCAAGAAATAAAGCTTGACAATGTGAAAAAATCCCAAACCACTTCAAGAACAAGAAAATGGGGAAGAAATGATTTTCAATGTATATTGAAAGAACAATGTATTTGGATTACTTGAACAAGCCTCAAGTTAATCCCCAAGAATATAAATAGCTTTGAATTTATACCCAAGATGAACAACCTCAATTTTGTAAAATTCTATCCAAGCTTTCTCTTCTATTTTGCTCTCAAAATGGGGTCTTCATGAAGGGGGAAAAACAGCTATATAAATAGCTGAGTCGGGCGCCATGGCGCCCATGAGTGGCGCCATGGAGCCAAGTTTCGTGTAGAAACATGGGCGCCATGGTGCCCGCCTCACTGCATCTTACTTTCAATTTGGGCGCCATGGCGCCTGACTCCCTGCACCATTTTTTTCTTACAGTTTGCAATTGATCTCCTGAGTATAGCCTGTAGCTTCTGTATCACAGCCACTAATAAAGGTGATGAAGCAATGGAGGCTTGCTCGCCCAATGTTGGCAAGGACATTTGCAATGGAGCACTGTTTTCAGTCAAAAGCCAGCGAAACTCATTCCTCAACCTCTCCAAAGAAATCTCAAGAAGACCTCCATCTACGCGACCCTTTTCCTCAGCCACCTCCAATTCCTGAAGATGCTTCACTGCCATTTTCAAACCTGAAATAAACCTGCCATCTGCCACATTACGGTGCTTAAAATACTCCATAATATCAGCCAACCATTGAATCGCCATCCAACAATTCTCCCCCAAGAACCTCAGCACCTCCTCAAGCCGTTTAAGCATGCCGAGATACCATGGAAGATCAGACTGAGGATCAGATAATGATTCTCAAGCCCATGAATGACATCAAAAACCTTAAGAACTGCAGCCGCGGGGACACCAGCTCGATCTATGTGACCCCCAAAAGCACCGAGGGCCCGAATAGGGAAAATTGCAACTTCCAAAGATACTAATCTATGATTAATCTCATCTAATCTAGGCCAGCTTTCTCTAAAGACAATCCCAAAGCCTTTGATTTCTCGACACTTGCTTTTAACAACTTTCGAGCAGATATCAAATTTTAATTGCCTTCAACCATTTCACCTAAGTAAAACATAAAATCAACTCGACTCCACTTCCTATTTTTAACAAAAACCCCCCCACAAAACTTTTAACAAACACAGGTAGGCAAAAGAGAATCTTTTAAACCACCTGTTCTTAATTTTGCTCCTTCTCTACGAATTTTTATATAGAACATAGACATCAATCTGGCTTCTTATAAAAAATCGCTTCCATTACTTCCTTCACCAAATCCTAACGAAGAAATACAGCCCTTTTCTGCATTGTGCGTGCCGGTGTTACAGAGAGAAGAAAAAACTTACACAGAATTCAAATGAAATACAGTGAGCAAAGACCCAAAATCAGGAACTGGAAATGTGATGATGATTCAGAGTGTGTTAAGCAACAAAGACCCAAAATCAGGAAGTGGAAAAGTCGTTGGAATTGGTTCAAAAGTAATTGAAAAGTCGGTTAAGTATTAAAACCAAAATGAAAAAAATGACTTCACGCCAATTTTGGTCGAATATTCAGACTTGATTTGATGGTCAAATTATAAAAGTAAATAGATCAACTTATTCTACTCGTCAAGCAGATCGTCATGGTATATTTGGAATCCCGAAATCAATTCCGATGAATGAGAAATTGCAATCCAAAATTAAAAGAACGAAGTGTTGCAACTTTTCGAAATGGTACAGATTCGAAATAAAGTGTTGCAACTTTTTATGAAAATGCTGAATTTGGGGTGTCCCTTCACCCACATCCTTTCAACTTTTATATATTCCTTCACCCTGTGTCCCTTCCCCCTTTGGACGTTCATTTGAAATTTCATATTATTCATTTTATGTCATGTTGCATCAAATACTTTGTAGAAGTGATTATATCTTACATTCAAATCATAGTTATGATAGGGAGGGAATTCCGTTCGAGTTCGTTAGTTGAAGTCATTTGGAGTGCTCCTATGACTTAACGTGGTTGTTGTATCTTGAAAGATGGTCGTCGAAAACCGTTAACACCGATGCAGGGCAAATTCATCTTAAGGAAAGAGTATCAAACACTTGCCTCGGCCAATCGCATCACTTACATATAATTTTCCTTATTTCAGATTTCTTTCATCATATTTGATTTCAGAAATTAACTATTACTCTTTGATTTCATGTAAGGTTGAAATTCAAGAATGGAAATGGATGAATCCATATTCATGTGTTCAAAATCAGATTCGGTAATTATTATTTATCTTCTCAAATCCAGAGTCGGTAAGTCGAAACTTTGATTTGAATTTGTGAATGTATAAGTTACGTTTTGTGAATTTGCACGTTTATTGTTGTAATATTCCCAACAAATATAACAGTTTTGGCAAACGATTTTTGCTTTCATCCATCGTGTTAATGCCAAAGTGCTGAACAGTAATGATCAAACCTATAGAAACATTAATATTTAATATTATCTAAAGAGATTGAATATTCCAATATGTGTTGATAGGGATGATTACAAGTCTATATAATAGGATTACAATTAAAGAAAGAATAAAATACTGGCAAGGGAAATCAGTTCCACTAATCTAGTAGAGTCAGTCCATTAGTCTAGTCTATACAGTAGGAAATAAAATCAACTAAATAAGGAGAGAATTATAATAGGATTACAATTAAAGAAACAATAAAATACTCTGATAATTTTGTGCAAAGAATAAAATACTCTGATAATTTTGTGCAAAGAATAAAATACTCTGATAATTTTGTGCAAAGAATAAAATACTCTGATAATTTTGTGCAAAGAATAAAATACTCTGATAATTTTGTGCTCTATCATACCCCCGCAAGCGTAAGGGTCCCAGAAGGACACTAAGCTTGGACCAATAAGTTTGGAACTGCTTCCAAGCTAAAGGTTTAGTGAGAGAGTCAGCAAGTTGATCTGTATTACGGACATGTGAAATGTGAAGTAACTTGTGAGAAACTTGATCATGCACAAAATGAAAGTCAATGACAATGTGTTTCATACACGAGTGAAAAATAGGGTTGGAGCATAAGTAAGTGGCACCAACATTGTCATGGTAAATTGTTGGAGGAGCTGGGATTGATACAACTAGTTCTCGTAGCAAGTTAGTGAGCCAATTCACCTCAACAGTAGCAGCAGCAATAGCACAATATTCGGCCTCGATTGAAGAGCGGGCTATAGTAGATTGTTTCTTAGAGCTCCAACTAATAGGATTGGAGCCAAGAAATACAACATAAGTAGATGTAGAGTGATGTGTATCAACATCACCACTCGAGTTGGCATCGGCAAAGGCATGAAGTGCGAGGGGATTGAGCTGAAATGAAGACACCATAATGAGGGGTTCTTTTGAGATAGCGAAGAACTCATTTAATAGCAAAGCCAACGATTGGAGGTTGGTTTGTACATGAATTGAGCCAACTTGTTAACGACATAGCTAACATCAGGCCGTGTAAGAGAAAGATACTGAAGTGAGCCAAGCACCTGACGATAATCAGTTGGATCATGTCATGGGAACCATCATCAAGTTTGAGCGTTTCTAAAATGGACCGTTGGATACTAACTTCCTTGGCCTTTTGCATATTAGTTCGTTGAAAAAGCTCTAGAATATACTTTCTTTGAGATAGGAACAAACCATTGGAGGTCCGAGCTGTTTCAACACCTAAGAAGTAGCTAAGTTTGTCGAGATCTTTGAGAGAGAACCTGTTAGATAGCTCACTAGTGAAATATTGAAGAGTTGGAGGATGATTACTGGTAAGTATAATGTCGTCCACATACGCAAGCAAGCACATAATGATAGTTCCCGAATTGTAGATAAAGAGAGAGGTATCACTCTTTGAATTGATAAATCCATATGCAAGAAGAAAGGAGTGAAGTTCATTGTACCATGCCCGAGGAGTGATTGCTTTATGTAATTTGCAAACATGAGAAGGATATTGAGGGTCAACAAATCCTTGAGGTTGTTGCATGTAAACACATTCAGATAGAGTGCCTTGTAGGAATGCATTATTAACATCCAATTGATTCAAAACCCAACCACGAGTTATGGCAATAGTTAGAAGAATGTGAATTGTGGCTGGTTTAATCACTAGGCTAAAAGTTTCTGTAAAGTCAATTTTGAGTCGTTGATGAAACCCTTTTGCCACAAGACGAGCTTTATAACGAGCAACAGAGCCATTTAGGTTCCTTTTGATTTGATAGACCCATTTACACCCGACAACGTTTTGTGTAGATGAGGGTGGAACAAGGGACCGAGTCTTCTTGTTCTGAAAAGCAAGAAATTCATCTTTCATGGCATCACGCCAATTAGAGTGGTTGTTTGTTTGGGTAAATGATGATGGTTCTATTTGGGAAAGAATCGAAGAGGTAGTGGTATGTAGGTTGAATGGTTGTTTTGGTTTGTAGACATTATTTTGAGCACGAGTGACCATGCGAGATGGTATGTTTGGTTGATGTGAAGGGGAATGAACAGTTTCAAATTGCTGGGCAGTTTGGTTGATGTCATGGCATGAGGAATATGATTCTGGAATGTTAGGATCTGTATGAGTGTTAGAGGGAGAAGAGGAACTACTTACCTGCGATTGAGTGTGTACAGAAGCAGCTTTAGGAGAGAGTGAAGTGGAAACAACTTGTTGAGCAGGCAATGGACCAGTAGATGGAGGTATTGGAAGTAAGTGTGGTGCAGAGGGTGTTAATTTGATGAAGTCAAAGGTCATCTTCGGTGGCTGCCTTCCTTCTTGGGTGGTTGAGTTTTTTTTTCTTGCATGTTAAAGAGACTTCTTCATTAAGTAAATGACTAAATTATGGCTGTCAACAATGGCTGCAATTCTTTTTCATAAACGAATCAAAATGGCGACTGAAGGAAATACAATTGCGGCTGGACATATCAAGGTGATGGCACTTCTCTTTATGGATGGATCATGACAACCCCTGCCCGGCAGGATGGTGTGCCTTGCAATGGTCATGTGGCGTCCATTGTGCTATTTTACAAACATGTAGGACAAGAACTATATGCAGTTTTCTTTTCTTCTTGTATGGATTCAAATTCTTGTTTTGTTTGAATTAATCAATGCGCAAAAGCTGGCGTTTTGTGCTTCATATTCCTATTTGTTCATCTTGACATTACATTAATAAAATGATGTTTTTGGCGGACGTACTTTGTGAGTTTGTGCAACGAAGGATTATTCAGCAGTATATCGTCTCTTAATTTTTATATTGACTCTTATGCTTTAAATCACACAATCTCATCTGTAATGCCTCTTTATGTTCAAAGGCCTAAAACGTGCACCTGTTTTCATAAATTGATGGAGACAAGATTTTAGTACATGATATTTGCTTGTTTTGGTATCATGTTGAATCTTCTCATCAGTCTAAAAGCTTGATTTATATTAGATAAGATAGGACAATTTTATTTATTCTTGATGGGGAGGTTGTACATTAATAGATCGACTGAACACAGTGAAATACAATTCTGTAATTAATGTCAATCAAATTAATCAGATGGGAGGATTCATCAATGCAGAAACAAATTCGTCGATGTTTGTATCCGAGCTTCCCCCTTTATCAACTGCTTCTCGTGCCATTTTCTTCCATTTGATTGCATTTGTTTGAATTTCTTTCCCTTTCTCCCTGTCCATCACAAGTTCCAAGCAACGAACAATCTCTGTATCTCGAACTATTCCTTTCTCATCAGGCCAAGTCCTGATCCCGGTTTTCCATACGTCACTCACAAATTTAGCATTTGTGCTTTGATCAGTCCAACATGGCATTGCAACCATAGGAACTCCCAAACTCAAGGCCTCCAGAGTCGAATTCCACCCACAATGTGTGATGAAACAACCTAATGCTTCGTGTGCCAAAACCTCTAATTGAGGACACCATGAAACTATTAGTCCCTTTTCTGACAATTCTTCTGCATAATTTTTGGGAAGTTTCGATTCTTCTGATGCTCTAACAACCCACAGGAAATACTTGTTGCTAGCTTTTAAGCCCTTTGCCAATTCCTCCATTTGCTCAGGTCCTACCTCGGACAAGCTTCCAAACGATACGTAAATGACCGAACAAGGTGCTTGTTGTTCGAGCCATTTCTTGCAAGCATCAGTGTTAGGCTTGAAGATACTGAGACCATATTCTTTGTCATCTTGTAGTTGCTTATCTATAAACATTGATGGTATGGTTGGTCCAATTGTCTTTACATGCGAAAACTTTGCCATAGAGTCGATTACCTGCCATTGTAACTGTTAACCAGATGTTCAGACTATCCGTGTAATTAAGAATCTAGTTACATACCTCTTGTTCCAACTCGTAAAATGAGTTGACAAATGTCCAGTCTGCTTCCCCGAGGTGCTCGACCTGATTCACGAGCATTTTAAGAGCCGTGGGGTGTGATCCAGGAATGTAAATGAGAGAAGGAGTGTCTTTAGGCTCTAGTGGTGGCAATCCATGAATGATAATTTCGTCATCTGAAAGAGGAAGCTTAATTTCCCCTTTGTATACATGGTAGTAAATATTGTCGACAGCACACGATTGAGTGAAAAACAACGCGGCTAATAGCCCGGATTTTTTTGCAACATCAAAGCCCCATGAAAGAAATGGATCAAAAATTATGCAATCAACAGCACAATCCAAGTTTTTAAGCCTTTCAAGAAGTTTCATCAAAGTTTCTGCGCCAACTCGACTGAATGTTTCAAAGTATTCTTCAAAGCTCCCTGCATGAGCCCTCCCTCCCTCGTCAAATCCATCGGAGATTGTTTCTATAGAAACAAATTCCGGAAATTCTTGCATTGTGCTGTACAGAAACTTCGTTACTGCAAGCGTGATTTTAACTCGTCTGTGCCTCAAACGCTTTGCGAATTGGAGCATGGGATTTATGTGACCTTGGATTGGATATGGTAAGATCAGACAATGAGCATTATAATCTCCTTTTCCTTTCTCCATCTCTGGCCTATAAATTAAGTCGCAAGTTAAATCTCCAGTTCTTCTACTGTATTAGTTTATCAAGTACTTATTTATACCAAAAATGTTGCACAATAGTATTCTGCACTCTTCTGTATGTCATTTTCTTTTCTGTATTCATCAGTTATGTTTAAAACTTATATTTTTTCTTTAATAGTGTTTAGTACTATACATTGTTCCTTAGTAAACGAGCCGTCTATGTCATATTCACGAATTAGGACAGGAATTATATTACCTAATCAAATAGATTAGGTTACAGAAAGACAAGTAATAAGATGAAATTAATGGCATCATTGCTGACAAAACCAACAGTACATTTTTTATTCTAATTCTGATGATTTAGATTCATTCTGCACCTTCTAGATCAATTCCCACATAAAAAAAAATAACAAGTTGAGTTGGAAAGTATTGTCTGTCTGCCCCATGTTGAGCTGGAGAAGGGCTTAAAGCCCAATTCTTGAAATTAGAGAAGGAAAGTAGGTTTAGGAAAAGACCCCCAAACTTTATAAAAAAAAAAAGTAACGAAGGTGGGACGACTGTCTAGTGGTGTCAAAAAAGCCTGCCCTACTTCCGTGACAAAACTGCGAAAATTGAAACAATTTTTTGAAGCTTTAATAAAATTGAACAGATGAAAGTTAAACCTTGATAATAATGGAGAGTAGATACTACTAGTTGAGAAAGTTAAGATTAATCTTTCTTTCTTCTCTAAAACATCGAACATTCTGCTACACTTTTGTCGCATAATTGAAGTATTTAACTACTGTGATGAAAGTAACCATGCTATTTTCTACAGTAAAAAATCTTCAAGTGAAGAACAAGCTCAATAATGACAACATATATGAACTTATCGTTTAATTTTCTTGTAATCATTTTTTTTCCCCTATCAAGTAATCAAATTGGATCGACGCAGATAAGGCAAGCATGCACAAGATTCCGACTAATATTTTAGACGTATACTTGAGGGTATGTTCAAGCAAAACTTTACATCTCTTCACTCCAATTAGTACTGTTTAAACTTTTCTAGATGATATGGCTTTGCTTGATGTTAAAAATCAACTAGCACGTTTAACTCCCCAAGAAATTTCCACGATCTTTCTTTTTCGTACTTTGCTTCCCACTTGTTAAAGAGTCGAAACAAAGTGATTTCATTAGCACATTGACAAATACAAGATAAGATTCCAATGGATAGAAAACTTCCCAAAATTTATGGCATGAACATTAGTCATATGGAGAATCCGCTAATGTGATTAACCTGATCATCAAAATCCTTCACATTTCCCTGTAGATTACCCTCGAATCTTCCTATTCCGAAGTACTTCAAGTCAACACCCTGTGCCACTCCATCCGCCACCAGCTCTGCCAGTATCCGCCCTACCAAAGGTGCCATCTTGAATCCATGCCCTGAAAATCCCCCTGCGACCACCACTTCCTTCCCAAAATCGCCGCCTAAAAAATCAATAACAAAATCCTCGTCCGGGGTCATTGAGTACATGCAAGACTGTGACATAACTGGTCCACTTGGATCAACAAGTCCTTGAAATCTTGCTTCAATCCATTTCTTTAAAGAATCCACCACTGTAGGGCTGGCCGCCACCCATGTCCGTTCGTTAGGCTCACACGGCCGTCCTCCGTGCACCCCGATTTTGATCAATCCCGGGAACTCCAACGATGGCGTGCCATATACATAAGGCTCGCCATAGCTTGCAAATGTAGGAAAACCACCATTTTGGATTGTGAATTTATCCTCAAACCCTTGTTTAATCTTCCAATAATGTACAGAAGTTTCCAATGGCTGTATAGGCAGCATTTGGCTTGTAATTTCTCGGACCAAATTTTTCATCCATGCCCCAACTGTCACAACACATTTCTTACCATAAAATTCCTGACCATTCCTCGTACGCACCAAAACCCCTCCTTGTACTCCATCTTTCTTAATTTTTGTCACTTCCATGTTGTCCCTGAGCATTGCCCCATTCTTGAGTGCAAGTGTTTGAAACATGGACACAGCTTTTGTCGGCTTAAGTACTCCCCCGTGCTCGGTTACAAAACCAATCCAATCCTCAGGCAACTCAAAAATGCCCGAAAATTCCTCATAAACCTGGGAATGATCAAGAACCCTAACCGGAATCGAGTTTTTCTTGCAACTGCTAATGACAGCTTGTAGAGATTTGTTATCTGATGGCCCCATATCCAATTGAATCGTCTTGAAGTAGACCTTGTATCCGATTTCAGCTTCTGCTTCTTCCCAAAGACGGGAGGATTCAAGCACCATGCTCGAATAGTAGTCTTCGGGATAGGTTGCACGGATTGTTCTTGACTCACCGTGGGACGAGCCACGGTGGTGCAAGAAGTCAAACTGCTCGAGAAGAATGGTTTTGAAGCCTCGTTTCGCGGTATGATAAGCCGCTGAACTTCCAATAACCCCTGCTCCAATCACTATAACATCAAACATTTTGCTAGAAATTTTTCCTCTCTCTAGAATTGAGAAGAAACTCCAACAGAATTTCTGTACTGTCAGAAGTTGGTGTGAAGGGCAGTGACCTCTTTAATTTGGTGGACAAAATGCCACCTTGTGTGCACAACAAAGTTCAAGCAACTCACCAAAAATCGAAGCTTAACCACCTTGATTTAAGAAGAAGCTCTGATACCAAATTGTTGGGAAAACGACCTCCCAAGATTGCCCAAGAAATAAAGCTTGACAATGTGAAAAAATCCCAAACCACTTCAAGAACAAGAAAATGGGGAAGAAATGATTTTCAATGTATATTGAAAGAACAATGTATTTGGATTACTTGAACAAGCCTCAAGTTAATCCCCAAGAATATAAATAGCTTTGAATTTATACCCAAGATGAACAACCTCAATTTTGTAAAATTCTATCCAAGCTTTCTCTTCTATTTTGCTCTCAAAATGGGGTCTTCATGAAGGGGGAAAAACAGCTATATAAATAGCTGAGTCGGGCGCCATGGCGCCCATGAGTGGCGCCATGGAGCCAAGTTTCGTGTAGAAACATGGGCGCCATGGTGCCCGCCTCACTGCATCTTACTTTCAATTTGGGCGCCATGGCGCCTGACTCCCTGCACCATTTTTTTCTTACAGTTTGCAATTGATCTCCTGAGTATAGCCTGTAGCTTCTGTATCACAGCCACTAATAAAGGTGATGAAGCAATGGAGGCTTGCTCGCCCAATGTTGGCAAGGACATTTGCAATGGAGCACTGTTTTCAGTCAAAAGCCAGCGAAACTCATTCCTCAACCTCTCCAAAGAAATCTCAAGAAGACCTCCATCTACGCGACCCTTTTCCTCAGCCACCTCCAATTCCTGAAGATGCTTCACTGCCATTTTCAAACCTGAAATAAACCTGCCATCTGCCACATTACGGTGCTTAAAATACTCCATAATATCAGCCAACCATTGAATCGCCATCCAACAATTCTCCCCCAAGAACCTCAGCACCTCCTCAAGCCGTTTAAGCATGCCGAGATACCATGGAAGATCAGACTGAGGATCAGATAATGATTCTCAAGCCCATGAATGACATCAAAAACCTTAAGAACTGCAGCCGCGGGGACACCAGCTCGATCTATGTGACCCCCAAAAGCACCGAGGGCCCGAATAGGGAAAATTGCAACTTCCAAAGATACTAATCTATGATTAATCTCATCTAATCTAGGCCAGCTTTCTCTAAAGACAATCCCAAAGCCTTTGATTTCTCGACACTTGCTTTTAACAACTTTCGAGCAGATATCAAATTTTAATTGCCTTCAACCATTTCACCTAAGTAAAACATAAAATCAACTCGACTCCACTTCCTATTTTTAACAAAAACCCCCCCACAAAACTTTTAACAAACACAGGTAGGCAAAAGAGAATCTTTTAAACCACCTGTTCTTAATTTTGCTCCTTCTCTACGAATTTTTATATAGAACATAGACATCAATCTGGCTTCTTATAAAAAATCGCTTCCATTACTTCCTTCACCAAATCCTAACGAAGAAATACAGCCCTTTTCTGCATTGTGCGTGCCGGTGTTACAGAGAGAAGAAAAAACTTACACAGAATTCAAATGAAATACAGTGAGCAAAGACCCAAAATCAGGAACTGGAAATGTGATGATGATTCAGAGTGTGTTAAGCAACAAAGACCCAAAATCAGGAAGTGGAAAAGTCGTTGGAATTGGTTCAAAAGTAATTGAAAAGTCGGTTAAGTATTAAAACCAAAATGAAAAAAATGACTTCACGCCAATTTTGGTCGAATATTCAGACTTGATTTGATGGTCAAATTATAAAAGTAAATAGATCAACTTATTCTACTCGTCAAGCAGATCGTCATGGTATATTTGGAATCCCGAAATCAATTCCGATGAATGAGAAATTGCAATCCAAAATTAAAAGAACGAAGTGTTGCAACTTTTCGAAATGGTACAGATTCGAAATAAAGTGTTGCAACTTTTTATGAAAATGCTGAATTTGGGGTGTCCCTTCACCCACATCCTTTCAACTTTTATATATTCCTTCACCCTGTGTCCCTTCCCCCTTTGGACGTTCATTTGAAATTTCATATTATTCATTTTATGTCATGTTGCATCAAATACTTTGTAGAAGTGATTATATCTTACATTCAAATCATAGTTATGATAGGGAGGGAATTCCGTTCGAGTTCGTTAGTTGAAGTCATTTGGAGTGCTCCTATGACTTAACGTGGTTGTTGTATCTTGAAAGATGGTCGTCGAAAACCGTTAACACCGATGCAGGGCAAATTCATCTTAAGGAAAGAGTATCAAACACTTGCCTCGGCCAATCGCATCACTTACATATAATTTTCCTTATTTCAGATTTCTTTCATCATATTTGATTTCAGAAATTAACTATTACTCTTTGATTTCATGTAAGGTTGAAATTCAAGAATGGAAATGGATGAATCCATATTCATGTGTTCAAAATCAGATTCGGTAATTATTATTTATCTTCTCAAATCCAGAGTCGGTAAGTCGAAACTTTGATTTGAATTTGTGAATGTATAAGTTACGTTTTGTGAATTTGCACGTTTATTGTTGTAATATTCCCAACAAATATAACAGTTTTGGCAAACGATTTTTGCTTTCATCCATCGTGTTAATGCCAAAGTGCTGAACAGTAATGATCAAACCTATAGAAACATTAATATTTAATATTATCTAAAGAGATTGAATATTCCAATATGTGTTGATAGGGATGATTACAAGTCTATATAATAGGATTACAATTAAAGAAAGAATAAAATACTGGCAAGGGAAATCAGTTCCACTAATCTAGTAGAGTCAGTCCATTAGTCTAGTCTATACAGTAGGAAATAAAATCAACTAAATAAGGAGAGAATTATAATAGGATTACAATTAAAGAAACAATAAAATACTCTGATAATTTTGTGCAAAGAATAAAATACTCTGATAATTTTGTGCAAAGAATAAAATACTCTGATAATTTTGTGCAAAGAATAAAATACTCTGATAATTTTGTGCAAAGAATAAAATACTCTGATAATTTTGTGCTCTATCATACCCCCGCAAGCGTAAGGGTCCCAGAAGGACACTAAGCTTGGACCAATAAGTTTGGAACTGCTTCCAAGCTAAAGGTTTAGTGAGAGAGTCAGCAAGTTGATCTGTATTACGGACATGTGAAATGTGAAGTAACTTGTGAGAAACTTGATCATGCACAAAATGAAAGTCAATGACAATGTGTTTCATACACGAGTGAAAAATAGGGTTGGAGCATAAGTAAGTGGCACCAACATTGTCATGGTAAATTGTTGGAGGAGCTGGGATTGATACAACTAGTTCTCGTAGCAAGTTAGTGAGCCAATTCACCTCAACAGTAGCAGCAGCAATAGCACAATATTCGGCCTCGATTGAAGAGCGGGCTATAGTAGATTGTTTCTTAGAGCTCCAACTAAT